AAAAAAAAAAAAAAAAAAAAAAAAAAAAAAAAAAAAAAAAAAAAAAAAAAAAAATCATACCTTCATTTTTTTTAAAATATAAATAATTAAACTATATTGATTATTTTTAATAAAATGGGTAGACTATTATAGTTTTCTGTTTTTTTTTTTAAGGAAAATTTTAGTATGATTTGAAACCATTTAATAAAACAGCGTATATTTTTATCGTTTTACAAATATGTTTTTCAAAGAAACGTAGTTAAACGAGGTATTAGAGTCATGGCAAGCCAACGACCTTCATCATTATGTTCTCAATACATCCTTGCTTTTATAAAAAGGTTTTTTTAAAAGATGAGTATAAACATATACTTAATATGTAACCTCTTTGTTGTGATTAGATATACATATACATACAACAAAAATGTATCGTAAAACTAAGGAACGTAAAACCGTTTAAAATTGCACTAATTTTCATGAACACAAATGAGTATTTTTTTGTAATAACTTTCATAGAGACCCTATAGCTTGTAAGTTTATGGACAAAATTAACGCACACGTTATATTTTCCTAGTGAAACATTTTTTATGCACATAGATGAGTAATTACCATAAATCATTTCACTTAGTTCATATCAATCAACATTTGCAAGGTCCCATAAAATGTTTCAAAACATCATTTTAATGTATGCACAATCATTATAACAATCACGTAACAAATAATGTAGACCCACCTAAGATCTTAAAACAAAAGGTTAATCTAATAGGTAAATCACTTAGCTTAATCTACCATGTCCTAAATTCTCCAGTAATCTAGTAATTATTTGTCAATTTCTAAAAAAAAAAAAAATCCTAAATTAGTGAGAGGACCAACAAAATTGACGTGGTGAGGTCGAACCAGAGAAATAATAGTAAAACTAAATCATTTATCTAGTTGAGTTTGCTCGAGTTATTATTATTTAAAAATTTAAAAATGATTACAAATAAATAATTAATAAGATGGTTCAATTTAAGCAAAAAAATGACAAAAAGAAGTAAGACACCAAGATAATTAAAACGAATAAATTTGATGGGTGTTTGGAGTGCATAGAATTGAAGAACATGGTACAGAAAAAAAAAAAAAAAATGAACGACAAGAAAGGTGTCGGACCCGTCCTATTTTAAGTAAGGTGCTATCCTATGTATAGCTTTCCACTCATTTTCTTCTTCTTTTTAGATATTATATAATATAAAATAATAATAATAATAATAAAGAAAAAAGGAATTTAATAATGAAAGGAGTGATTAGAGGTTAGGCGTGAAGATTTGAAGCAAAAGTGGAGCCAAACCACTACAAATTGCGGGTCCCACTTAAGGTCGCCATGATTGGAAACCATCATTATTATTATTTTTTAAATAAAAATATTAATAAGCTTTTTCAAATATTTGTAGCGCATGCTTACATTCTTTTAAAAAATTATTACTATTTTTTATATTTTTCTCGATAATTAATAAAATTTTAAAAAATATTCTCAAAAAAATATACATCAACTTTTAAAAATAGTATTAACCCATTTAACTTCTATAGAAGGTTTTACAGAATTATGTATTTATATTTAGACTAAATTTACATATTAAAAATTAACATAATTTTTTTTTTTTTAAACATTATACCTACAAATATATCCAAAACCAAAATAGTGGTGGGCATAAGATGTAAACAAACAGAATCCGAGGTGGCAAAGTGGGCTCCACTGACCCCCCTTCACCGTTGACTAAAAAACAAAATTTGTGTTTTCTTTTCTTTTGTTTATGGGTGTGGTGTCTTGGGTTGGGCAGGCGGGTCCCTGTACCCCTAACCAAAATCACACCTGCCAAAAGCAATTTCCTTTTCCACTCCTCACTCACTCTCCCTTTCACTTTGATTCTCAAAAAGCACTTCCTTCCTTCATTCATTCAACACAAATCAAACCAAACCAAATGTAAAAAACCCCCCTTAATGAGGGTTACTACATTTCCTGCTTTTCTGTAATGTGGGTGTGGCGGCTCCAAGTTTTGAAGTTCGGTGAAATCGCCTCACGGCGGAGATGAAG